GGTGTGGGTTCTGCCATGCCATGAAGCTACTTCATCTTGGAAGGTGGTTGACCTTTTCACAGGAATTTTTTGTTTATGCCAGCAGACAGCAACTAGCCTTCAGTTCTCCTTTCACTTTGTACAGCTGCTGGTCTTGCCTGCTTCCACGATCTTTTTCTATGCACTGGTAGTGTCTCAATTCGAAGGCACTAAACTTGGCATGTGGTTCAGCGCTCCTACATGAGCTTCCCCCCCATGGCTCGCACAAGCTTGCGAGGAAGGAAGGCCATTGAACTGTAATGCCCACTGAGACAGTTGTTGGCAAGGTCTGAGAAAAGGGATTTCAACTTAAACTGCAGGAAGGTTTTTCAAAGACGTGGTTTCAGCTTGCTTCGTGTTGTCAGCAGGTGATCTTTGTCCTTCCTACAGGTACATCGCCTTTTGTCTTTGCTCGCCAGAGAATGGCCTTTTTTCCTCCTCCTTGGTGAAGCTGTGAAAAATACCGGCCCTTTTGATTTTTTTTCCCCCAAACAACAGTTAATTGCTTCAATTCGTCTCATAAAAGTATACTCTTCTAATTAACCAAAGCAGGAGATGGATATCTTTTTCACAGAAAATCTCCAGCCTATTACCAATGACTTCAGTGACTAACTTCCCAGCTTACAAAATCAGACACCAGAGGCTATTGGCCTTATCTGCATCTATCTGCTACAAGGTAAGTCACCTTATTAGCTGGAAGGTAATAAAATGCAAACAAACACAATCAGAATTCCCCAGTGGCTGCTTCCCTATTTACAAGCTTGCCCTTTGTCTCAGGTTTTGTTTACCTTGTGTATCAAAAATGACAAGAATAAATAAAACTTTCAGAGCATGACCACAGGTATCAACGCCAAGTAGGAAGGGCATGAAGTGCTACCCAGTCCTTAGCTTTACAGTTTTATTCACTTCTGACCCCATGTCTAGTTATGGAGAAGTTGCCTTTTATAATAGTAATGTACTGAGCTACATTTTTTATGACCATCTAAGGCTTCACGTTGCTTCTGTTTTGTCTTTTTTTTTAATATGTCCAGTCAGAGTAACACTGAAAATAAAACACAGAACAAAAGCAACACAGGTTTCCTTTTTGACATTCTGGAAAGGTGAACTAATCCTTCCAGTTGCACTGCAAAGTTGCTCCAAGGTGCCAAGGGGTGAGCGGTGCACCCGCCAAGGTACACACACATACAGCCCACGTCTGGGTCCTGAGGAGCACCACGGCGAGAAGGTGCCTTCCACTGACCACAGCAGGACTGCTCCCACATGTACCATCTAGTACGTGTTGAGTCCTTCCTGAGTTACAGCCTAGGGAATGATAAGTAATGAGAAGTCTTGGGGGGATAAAAAGAAAGAAAGCCACACTGATGAAGAACAGCCGAGGGTCTTGTCCATCTCTTTTGAGCTGGACCTCATTCGAGGTCCTACGTTGGTCCTCCCCTCACCATTTCATTACGCTCGTATCTTGGTCATTAAGAATTTCCTAGTAGTGAGATGCATCTCAGCCACGTAATGACCCTGACATGTTGTGCTGCTGTTACTCTGAAAGGAGTGTTGATCTGATCACTTCTCACTCACGTACTCCAACCATGGGTCATGACAGTGGCCTGTCAGCTACACCCCGAGGGCATCTCGTGTTCCCAGCAGGCAGATTCTCTTCTAATCTTACATGAGCCAACTCGTGGCAGGCAATTGGATGTCAGGGGTTGATGCAAGATGGCCAAGCCCAGGTCTTAACTGATTCCAAGTTGCCTGGCCCCAGCTACCTGGTAATGAGTTTCTCACAGGCAAATACCAGAGAAGTGACTGATGCCAATAAAATTATTACAGAAATTCCGTTGTTTCCTTCTCACTGAACCTTGAAAGAGGGGGTTTGGACCTAAAGTTAAGGATGTAGGTGACTAGCTTTGGGCATTTACCTCCAGAAGGAATGAAAACCATGTTGCTCAGTGCCCAACCCGGCACCACCCAGGGAGTCTGCTCCTGAAGAAGGCAAAACCAAAGATAAAACAGAGACTACAACTACACACATACCAAACGTAGGCTTACGGCCTTGTGATCCCTACTCAGGCAAAATGCTCTTGTGTAGCACTTTCCCTGCCCTGAAAGAGAAGTCCTGTGGCTATCACAGGAAATTCAGGTCTGAGGCCAGGCCACCTTGAAAAATACAGAGCTGCTTTAACAGCAAGCCAAAATGCTATAATGTTAAAATATCTTTTCTGGTTATTTTTCAAGATCTCTTTCTCCTTCCAGGGCTGAGATGCAAAAGGCAAAATTGCAAAACCAGTCTAGACATAGGAAGCAACTATGTATGAAGGTTGAACTTGGGATTTCAGTACTATGACTGTCCGACCTTCAACTCTGGTACAACTGTTGCACCAGAAACACCGAAATAAGTGTGCTCCAGTGCTGAGAAGATTACGTTATGTATTGGACTAAAATGACTCAAGATAAGGTACTTCTGCTTCTCAGCAAAATACTTCTTTAGAATTTTGTGCAAGAAATAACAAAAAAAATCCCCATCGTTTCACTTCTTCCAGACAGCAGCTTTTTTTTTAATAAAATTGCCTCCTTTTTGAACCTGAGGAACCTGCCAGCGTCTGCTGCGTCCCATGGGCGGGAGTTCCTCCGCTGAATGACACACTGTAGGAGAAGGATGCTCCTCTGGCTTTGAAGCTGCTGCTTGCTAGCTTCCCTTGCGGCCCCCGTCCTCGTGGTAGAGGAGAGGGTCAACAGCTATGCCGGTTTACTTTCTCCATGCAACTCACCGTCTTCTCAACCCCCATTACAAACCACCACTGTCTCTTTTCCACGCTGATCGGTCTTAGCCTGCTAACTCCTTCCTCACACCTTCGTCCCACCCCATCAAGAGACCCACGATGGGGAGAAGGACACCCCCCCCCCACCCGCCGTGCAGTCCTGCAGCCTGCAGTGTGTGCTTGGATAGGGTCCAACGGGCTGGGTGCAGTTACTCCAGGGCTGTATCCACCCTGCTGCCATTGACCCATGAACTAACTTCGAGTGTGCATGTATGACCACACTGACTGATTGCAGTGTGGACACATAGCCACAGACTACACCTAAAGAAAACAATATGAAAAGGTATGAGGAAAAATAAAGCAAAAGAGGGCTGCTAAAAATAAACAGTAAGGGCAAGGAAATCAATAGCGCAAATATTGAATGAGGGATAAAATAATTTATCCATATATTAAAAACAGCTTCAGAGAACATGGAAAATACTGACAGAATACCTTCCCACCTACAGGGTATGTGTTTGGTTGCACAGGTCTGAGTGAGAAAACAGAAACTTGCAGGCCAGTGTCTTCAAGTAACATTTCTTTCTGCAGGAGTGGTGCGACAGCTTCTCCCATCTGTCTGTGTGGGGGTGTGTGTCTATATACATACAGACGCACGCAGTCTCCAGACTACAGGTCAGATTATGCCATGCCGCATTCCCACAAGCCAGCAGCGCGACTGAAATCACTACGTGGTGGGAAGGGAGGACCTTCCTAGACCCGTCGGATTTGCAGGAAGGAGATGGTCCTGCCCAGCGCTGGAGACCCAGCTCATGCACCACTCAGAAGCAGACCCAAAGCATGGTGGCTGCAAAGGTTTTGGCACTCCCCTGGACATGTGCATGTCATGTGCGGTAGCCTCCTCAGTATGGTGGGATTGACTGAGGGCAGGGATCTGTGGTTATTTGTCCTGAAAAGCAACCAAGCCAGCGTTCTCCAGCTCACCCCTCTTCGCAGCACCCAGGACATTGCCCTTCACAGTAGCATGAGATGCTCGCACCTTGGCTGGCAACTGGAGTAGCTCCATGCCCACCAGTGTTAAAGGAGAAGCCACTGCCTGAGCATTCACACATCATTCAGGGAGTCGCACAGACGCCACTCAAGACTTTAACCGCTAGGACCGGAGTCCCTTCACAGCAGGCAGCTCCACTGAGCTGACGGGTGCCCCTTTCGGACTCCTTGCTCACACACGCACTCACCCTCGAGTGCTTTCTCTCCCCTCAGGCTCGACCCTAGGTTTCCCTGAGGCAGAGTCTCTGATACGATGTACGCCAGACAAATTTATTGAGAGGTACAGCAGTATAAAACAGCTTGAGCTGGGTGCCTCTGGAGAGGGACTCCAAACAAAGAAATCCCTGGGCAGTTATACCCTTACAATTTAAGTTACCCTCCCCTTACGTGACAGTTTGGTCCAACAGCAATATTTGGGTCTGGGGTCTTCTTGTTCCTCGTTGGATCTTTTCTCTGTCTCCAGGTGGGCCGTTACTTTTCTTATCTCAGCCAACAGATGCAGCCTCTGCTGACGGTCGTGGCTACCTTATTTTTCTGGTTTGCACTGATTTCGGAAGGTCACAGCTTGCGGCCTCAGGCTTTAGCAAGCCTTGCTACTAACGCTATGTATTGGATTCCGTTTGAGCTAGAACAAGATTTCTACAACGCGAGGGTTTCTTAGGAAGCATTTTTGCGCAAGGCTGGTTCCTGGCAGAGCCACGTCTGTGAGCTGCCTAACTCAAGAGTGTCCTGAAGGGAACGCATCGTTCAAAACACCTCCTCTCTGGATGAGGCAACAGTGGTTGGCAGCAGGAAATGTGGTATTTGTAATGCCTCATCCTTCCCTGGGGCACCACTCCTTTCTCCCTAAGTGTTGCCTTAACTTACTGAAAGCAATTAGGTTCGAAGTCCTGCCTGATGTTCAGACCGTGCACGTGCACCGAGAGCAGGTCACGGTGCCAAGCAGAGTCGCTCGACTCTTATCTCTTGATGCAAAAACGAAGAGGCTCCGCTTCTGTCAGGGGAGGAGGCGAGCTGCTCGCGTGGCCAAGCCCCAGCCCCAGCTCCCACAGGCAGGATGAAACCCCAGCCCGTAGCAGCCTCTGAGCCAAGCGAGATTGAGCAACGGGTTCAAAATGTACGTGCCTCCAAAAAGCAGGGGTACCATCTGCCACACCCTGCTTACTATCACTCTTTCCAGTCCTCCCCTCCCACCTATTTCCATTGTCACAGTGGAGCCTCTGTGCCGTGCAAGACCCGTGCAGGGGTGAGTGAGGTGTGCATCATCTCCCCCCAGCAAAACGTGAGTGGGAGGCCCAACCCAGGAGCTCCCCGGGCATTAACTCAGCACCAGCAATCCCTCGGGACTCCAAGGGCGTGCAGTAGCCCCGGGAGCTGCTTAAGAAGTCTTGGCAATGAGTACAGCCATTCACAGCCGCTTTTCCTTAAACCCCGAAGAAAAACTGAAACAACTAAAAGAGGACTATTAAACAGTCAGAAACCAAAAACTTTCCTTGGAGCGTGAACAGAGTGGCTGGCTGGTTGCTCAGCAGGGCAAAAAGTGTTCTGTGTATGTCCAGTGCTGCTACTGGATACGGGTTACTGCAGTGCTGCACGCAGCTACGGGATGGAGCACTGCGAGGTCCAGGCTTCCCGGTGCTTTGGTCACCCCACGCTGGGCTGCTGCAGCTGGTCAGCGATGCCCTGCCCTGGGAGCCACCACTAGCTTTGCACACAGCAGGCTGCCTCCTCAACCAGCAAAGGTTCAAGTGCACAAAGCACTTCATTATCAGCAGCTGAGTATGGTGGGGTCCTTCTCCTTTGATAACAGCGCATTTGTTTTCAGGCTATGAATGCATACGCAAGTGTCTGTTATGGTTTCTGTGGTGAGCCAACAAGCCTCTGGTCTGTACGGCGTCTCAAGGAGGAAACTCCTTTCTGTGACACAGTAGCATTTAATGGGAGCTGCCAAACTTGGAGGCAAAAGCGTAAATCAGCTTTAGTTATAGATGGTGTTGCCCATGAAATCCATCCATAGGTCACAAAGTCCAGCCTCCTGCCCCGATGTGATGGTCACCAACGCCAGATCGGGTCAGTTGAGGTCTTGTCTAGCTGAGCCTCGAAAACCTCCACAGGTGGACACTCTGCCACCTCTCTGGGCAACTAACCTCCTGGTGACAATTTTTTCCCTGATGGCCAGCTTGAAACTCTGAAGACACAACCTGTGCCTGTTGCCTCTTCTTGTTCTGGCCATTTCCACGGAGCGGAGCTTGGCTCCGTTGCCTCTCGTAACTCCTCTCCAAGCATGTGCCAGCTGCTATCAGGTCAGCCTGAGCCTCCCTACCTCCAACAAGCCCACATCCCTCAGCCTCTCCTTGTAGGCCTCTGCTATTTTGGTATCCTTCTGCAAGACCCATTTCCCAACACCCCTCTTGAACTGGGGGGAGTCCAGCGCTGGAAACAACACCCCAGGTACAGCCATTGACTACGTCAGGGCCCTGAGGGCACCACCGGGAATGACTGCCCCTGCCTGACTCCCGGGTCCTCCCCTCCCACCCTGCCCGTGGCCCAGGACCCCATTTCAGATTTTACAGGCAAGTTGCTGACCTTTTTTTGGGTGTTAAAGTATCTAGAAACAGACTTGCCTTAGAAAGGGCACGGCAACACCTAGCCCAACAACCACGTTCCACCTGAAGCTAGAAGGTGTTGCTTTACAGTCTAAAATACTTTGTTTCTTCCTCAGGGCCACATTTTCAGAAATCTTGTCTCCTTGCAATCCTTTCCTTTAAGAAGTGATGTGGCGCAACACGCCACACACTTGATTTTTAGAGGCAAACTCCCGGCTCTCCTGGGAAGGCTTTTACCACTGACTTGAGCTCACCCCAGATTTTTCTCGGAGACCAAGCCACCTGCAGGCGCTGCACACTTTGCTGCGGACAAGTGCCCACCCTGCGCGACTCCCCTCCGCAGCTCTCGAACCCCCAAAATGAAGGCTTGCTGCTGCTCTTCTGCAGAAGGCGAGCAGAGCACCTGGCACCACGAACATGTCAGGATTAGTACACGTTTATTCATAACTCCATGGTTTTTCTGTGACAGCCGAGGACAGAGCCATAGCACCGTTCTTCTGGCACGCTGAGTCACCATGACTTCTTTCTTCGAAAACACCCCACTGCTTGCAATATTTTAGTGGAATTGTGTGTGTGACACCCCTGCAATGTGATCAATATTTAATGTCTCTGAAGGGTCAACACAGGGCACTGAATCAAATTCCTTGGAAATTTTAAATATACCAAACTCGGCAGAACCATCTACTGATCTTATTTATCGCATCTACTTCTACTACTTACCACCCGGGCAAACATACTGTCCTTCAAGTTATTTTAACATATGCTGTGACCGAGATGTTGTACAAACCTTGCAAATTTCAGTGGCTCCTTGTCAATGACAAGGGGGACATTTCTCAGGTTTTATGTACAGTTCCTCATCTAATCAATCAAACTACGCTTTCAGGTTCAACTGCAGCTATAACTTTATTTGACTTTGTTCCCTGTAAAGGTATACAAGGTATTGTTTACCTTAGAATATAATACCCTTGGACCTTGTTTATACAACAGATTTTTCAAAACGCTTCCCACCATTAATTCAAGAATACTTACTTCCATCTTCATGAGTAACATTGTGAGTCTTGCTATTAATCATGCACCCGCTTCTTCTACTGTTTAAAGCATTGCCTGCTTGAGGAAAATCTGATGAACAAGATGCTGAAAAATTAGGGCTGTGTTTGAGAATGAGGAGAAGGTGCCCGAAAGGCTCGTTACAGCCAGCGCCTGGGAGACGTGCAAACAACAGCGTATTTCACTGCAATTTGAGCAGAAAGGTGTATCTGAGACTCTTCTCTAGAAACACCTTGGCTCATGTGTGCAAAAACTCCACGCAAGCGCACTACTGTAGTTCCCTGCTGTGGTTTAACCCCAGCTGGCAACAGCACATTCCCGCATAAGGATAACCCACCTTCTGTCCTGGTAAACCAAGGTCTTAGGGTTGGCCATGATCTTCAGCCACCTTACAAGGTCTACCGCATTTGAACCG